TTGAAGAATGGTCATTTCTTGGAACACTTGACAACCAAAGGAAGGAAGAAATATTTCTCAGGAATAGAGGGGAATAACCTAGCCATTTTCCCAACCAAACAAGAAAAGTACAAGGAAATAATCTCCAACCTGTTTAAATGCCAGGACATATGCCTTTATATTAAGAGGAAAATGATACTTCCGGCCCAACCCCAATATTTGAATTTCTTATATAAACTTATTTACAATTTAATATAACTCATATCTTAGAAGATTGAATACATTTTAGAATTAATTGGCAACATAGTTACTGTTATAATATTAAAGTAAAAAACATATCATAAATATTTTATATTAATTCCTGCAGGTAAGGCGGAGGGAGCATGCAGAGCTGTAGAGAACGGGGCCAGTTTACCATCCGTACTTTACAAGTATGGTCCGTCCTTACTCCCTGCTACACTTGATGGCTTTTATGGCCGCAAGGCTGAAAAAGGCGTTGAGCTGACATTAACAGATTTTATTCTGCTTGTCCTGTGTTATCTTCCAAATGCTTTGTAGGACGGAAGAGCAAAATTATTTCTTCCTCTTGTTTGCTTCACTTAGACGCTTACTAGTTAGGAGTCACTGCCCCCCTCCCTCCCACTCCAATTAATTTGCCAACGCTGCCCGATTGAGATGTGCCACTGACTCAGCTAGCTAGTCATTCCTCACCTTCTATTCGTTTTTTTTTTTTACGTACAGTATACTTTTATGGTACTGTTTTTTGGTTGGCTAACAAAGAAACCCGCATGTCCCAATTTCTCATCAATTTGCCAAGCTACCACATGCTAGACGTACAGATATTAATGCATCATGTAAATCCAACGAACCTGACCATATCTAGTTAACTTTTGATTCATTTATTTAAATTAAAATCTTTACATTGTCAAACAAAAAAACAAAGACGAGAATAGTTGTAGTGCTACTATTTTGTTCCTTGGGATTATAAGTTAGTTAATATGGTTCAACAAAATCAATAAACCCGATGTTAAAGTTTGGGAGAAAAGGCATGTCGTAGAAATTTATCTCACATCAATGGCAGCAGATATGATAGGCTTCCGTGAATTTGGCCTGCACAGACGTGTCTGTGGCAGGCCGAATTCACGGAAGCCCATGACATTGTCTTGCGTGCATAGGATCTTTCGAAAAAATAGAACCGTATTGCAGCTTAGAGGGATAAATAGATGAGGAAACCAAGGCAGTATCAGCAGCTACCAGCCATCAATGCATTTCCAATTAAAGAGTGAATGCTAGCTAGTAGCAACATAGCAGAGGAACAAGCATTTGTTCCCTAAGCCCTGCAAGAGAGTTGTGGGCTTGATAACATGACGCATGAGGATATATCAAAGTTTTGTTTTAATGCTTCTCTGTATGTATAGCATGTCCCATCACCAAAATTCAGGAACTATCTTGGCACTTCAGGGAAGATAGGCTGGATGTCATGGACTGCTCCAATGGTTTTTATTTATTAAAAATTATGTAAATCTTCTCATGTCTAATCATATCAACCTTTAGGATCGTTACAATTATATGACATCTTATCTCAACTCTCTCGTTCCTTGGTGAGACGGCGAAGCCCCAGGAATACATTTTCACCGATTGGTTGTTTAAGCTAAGTTGATTCTATAACCCTGTAAAGACATGACATTAGTAACAAAGCTATATCTGAATGGAAAAGGAAGAGAATTAACGGTGAAAGACGTCCATTCCTGATGACAGTTGGCTTAACTATATATATATATATATAGAAGAAGAAGAAGAAGAAGAAGATCTGCAATCAAAAAGAGAAAAAGATGCTCAATTTCGAATTTGACTGGTACGGATGCTTAATGGAAATCTTATTGATTATAAAGCTCAACTAAAGAAAATATACAGAATGACAACACCTTTTTCAGTAGAACATGCTTGAAATGTGGAAACAGAATGCTATTCCAAAAGATGGTTTGACTTTAAGGCTAGTTTTGGATAGCATGGGATGCATGTTATGTTTGATCTGCATAGGGGTGATGATTCCCCTTGCTTTCGAGTTTAATTGATTGGTGATAGATTTAATTAATCCACTGGATTTTGGAAGCTAATTAATACATTGAGAACTTTATTCTGCCAGCATTTTTCAAAACAACAAAGGGGCCCCAAAAGGACTCCAAAATTTTCCACTAGAGACTAAAAATCATCGTGCAAGTTTTTCTTCACAAAATGCAGATTTCTGGGCCAAGCAGGATTTGGCCGTATTACGGTGCTGTCCCTAGCAGATTCTTCAACTTTTCTTGATGTTATGTCTTATGGTGGAAATCCACACTGACTAATGTCCACAGGGGTGTGATAACACGGAGTTCCTTAGCTGGATCTCATAATTGTTTAACTCGGATTGCTTTGCTTTCTTATCTGATACATCCCATCCTTAATGGTAGTTCAGAATTCATTTTGATGTTCCACTGTAAATAATTAATCAAAAGTGCCTAATAGTCTGCACCCAAGAAATGTTTTCTGCCAAAATGTTTTAAATCAGCGGATTCAGTTAAACACTATCATATCTTTAGTACATCAATAAATTTGAAACAGCAACACACCGCCCTTGACAATGATGCTTCACAATTATTTGCAGTTACAATCCATCTTCTTTCATAGGTCACGTATATAGGCCTTTGCCTTATTGGGATCATAAACCTTTTATTCGGGGCTGCATTTTGGGATTAGAAGATAAAAGGAAGCTTTTGTTTCCACTGATTCCTCACAGAAAAAGAAGGTGGTAAAAGAGTTGCCTTTTTCCTTTTCTAAGTGTAGCTACCTTTGGATTGGAAAAGAAAAAAAAAACAAAGTCATTCCTACCAACATTCATGGAATTTACAGTATTGATGACATTAAATAAAGCTGGCTCTTTCATGTATCCTCCATGTATGCAATCTTGGATGTTTCGTGCAATTCTGCTAAATTCTCTTTTGGCTGCAAGAGAAAACACCTGCAAATTGATGCATCAGTCGAGCATGTTTTGAAATTTACATATAAGATTCACTGTCTTCAGATTTCATGAGAGCAGTGGTTTTGGAGCCTTTTGACTATGCATTTTAGAGCGATCTTTTTGCTTGCTAGATACTTCACCTTAGTCCATGCATGCAATCATAAGCTAAAGCTTCAATAACAGATGTATAACAGCGAGCTGGTACCGACAAAAAGTAGAGTTTATCATGATAGTTGGCCATGTCTACTGAATTTTAGTCCTTTACGGTGACTGGATAAGGGCATAAAGCTGTTTGCATTTGGTAAGCTGTAGATTCGGAGAGGGAAATTTACAGCTGCAATTTAATATGACATTTACCGCCATGTACTTTCCTACCTTTATGGGAAGGAATAAAAATGTGGGAGATTCTGCCCTTCGCTTCCTTTGCTCTGATCATTAATTATTAATAAATTGTAACTTGTCTCTTATTTATCAATATGGGCAGATGGTAACTGTTTAAATGATCTGTAGACTGATAATAATAACAATATAGAAGATGCCTTCATTTGTTTTTAATTAATCCCGGAATCTGCAGATGCTATTGAGGTAAGGCCAGGATACATAACATAAGAAGAAGCACACCGTTTTCTGCATATTGAAAGAAAATATTACCAAATCCCTCCTTATTCTTGGAATCATTGAGGTATAACAGGCATTCTGCTGACGAAAATTCGCTGTTCTTCTTATTCCCAATGGGTTACTACTTTGTTTCTAACAAATTCAAGCTGTCGGTTGAAAACACAGGGGTGATCTTTCCTTTTTGCTTTTATAAAAAGCAACTTTACTGGTTAATTCAAACATCGTGCTTATGATTTTTTTTTTCTTTTTCTTTTCTTAGTCTAAATATTTATCAAAAATTCATGCCACCAGAAAGCAAAGGAAATGGAAATGTTTCATTAATTAAGCTTTGGTGACTTTGTATTCCACTTTCTGTTGTCCATTTCCCTTTCTTCTTTTAATTCTGATGGTCCTATATTATAGCTTTAATAGCCAATCTGTGCTAAGCTTGGGATTTAAGCTTGGCATCACACTAGCTGCATATGCCATCATTTTGGTGAAGGTTCTCCACCTTCCACCCTCCCTTTCCCTTAGTGGCAAGCAAAAGACATATCCTTTACTTGAGACCTGAGAATAAACACAAGGTCAATGCCCTTAACAAGTAATAGTACTATCTGAGATTAATCAACTCCACCAATTAAGGCTTCACCACAAAATGTTTTCTGAGACAATTTTCGCCAAAAAGAGCAGATAAACTAAAATCTACAGACAGAAACACTGTGGCCTGATTTGTTATGGATCTAATAAGATTTCTAACTTTATTTCCTGCTAAAAATCAAATATATTGACAGTGAAAGTTTTACTTATTGCTCATGATCAATAAATGAGACCCTTTCCAACCACAATTTAATCAACCAGCTACATCATTTTTGACATTTATTAACCATCAGCAGCTGCTATGGAAAATTCTTTACTGAAAAGCAAGCAGTTGACACTAGACTAATGCCGGTGCCAAAATCCTAATACAGAGGCTAAAAGTGGCTGCTTTGAGTTGACCTCAAAATCATTAATAGAATATCAATAGTTAGCTTGGATAAGAAATTCAACATTTGCTACACACACGCACACACACATATATATGTGCGTGTATGTGTCCAAGAGGCAAAGTCATCTTTAACTTGTTGGACGAGAAATTAAACAGATTCTTTGTTTGGCATTTTTACTGGAGGCTAATTTATTTTTTATTTGTTAATAAATCTTAACTACCTCCCCCTATGTGTGAAAAGCAGGGTTAGGGTAGTGTAGAAAGTGGACTCCATGTCATGTGACCCATCAAAGAATCTCCCCTGATCACTACGTATATAAGGACCCCATGGAAAAAATAATGCATGGCAAAATCAAAACACACTAATCCCATCTTCTTCTCTCTCTTTCTCTCTCTCTCTTTTTCTTCTCCATCTGTCTCTAAAAACTTTGCCATGATTCTCTACCTCTCTGCTTCTTGCCTCTTTCTTTTCTCTTGCGCGTCTATAACATCAACTGTTGAGGGGAATGTTGTCTGGTTCGAAGTCATTCATATGAATCTTAAATGTCTTCTGAATGATTTCGGACCAGGCTTCATTCCCCCCAACTTGTTTTAATGGCTATATATTTGCTCAGCTTAACGAAGTATATGCATATATGCTCATTTGATGCAAATACAGAAGGAAGAGTTTGAATCAAGAAATATTAAGCCAATGATCGGACAGGCCAAAATTTGGCAACCTGGAATTGGAAACAGGTAAATTTGAAGGTAGAATTTCATATCCTCTTTTCATGGTTTTTTTCCTCCCTTGTCATAAACTGTTGAGTCAATGTGAACAGATTACTGCAAAAATTCGGTCTTCTTCAATCTCTTTGGTTTGTTCATATTTTTGGGATTTGGAGTGTTGATTGTGGGATGTGGACTTTGCTTGCAGAGACTTGCAAAGAATAAAAGTTACTAGAACTTTGTGTGCTGTCCCTTTAGTTTTATGTATGTGGGATGGAGAGAGAGATTAAAAGGGTACTTTAAATTTGCCTCATTTTATCCCTTCAGAATTCAACAAAACAACTTCTTTGTACGTGCCAAACTATATCTACCTGGTGGGGTAGATATATTAACTCTTGGTGGGTCAAATGAACATGAAAAAACCAAAACTTTTCCATGTGAAGATCATAATTCTGTGGGTCAGGTCTGCCCCGCCGGGGTTGTCAAAATGTTGAGCGACTGTAGCTACATGGCTGCAGCTACTGAGTTTTGAGCGTTTGTCAGAAGGCAAAAAAAAAAAGGAATTGCAGAAGGTTCATCTTATCTCCTTGAGCTGAAGAGAAGACGCGCTTGCAGTTTGTAAAAGATGAGATGAAGACAATAACAAAGGTTTGTTACTGATATTATGTTTTTCGTAAGTTGGGATTCTCGTGTTGAAAATAAGGTTGAAAAACTGGAACCAAAGTACTTCCTTTGTAGGATTTGATAGGACTTGAGAGATGGAGATTGGAGATCAAAGATTACAAAGTGAAAAAAGGGAGGGGAGCCACCATAGGGCCTTGTCTGCATATGTGTCTCCCATGTTGTGATAACTTTTTCCATGCACCAAAGGAGGGCTACATCCCCTTACTGCCTAAGCCTCTAAAGTCATGCACTACATGTTGTAGCAGTGAAAATCTATCTCTTTTCTCCTTTTTCCTTTTCCCCTTCTGTTATTGTTCCTCATGTTAGATTATGTCCCCATCTACTACATGTCATCTTATAATTAATTAAATTTAGGTTAACTTTCTGTTTTTTCGTGTTCCTTGATCACGCATCCATTACCACTAGTCGCATATACGCTGCAGCACTGTGTGAATTCCATATTGCAGATTTGGGCAGGTGCTAGGAGCTTGGCCCCTAGTTGTCGTCAATTCTCTGCTAATCCTTTTTATATAAGGGGGTGCCACAGTCCACAGGTGATCTCTGTTGGATTAAATTAAGAATACAACCAATGTTTTCATACATATTATTCAACGGTCAGTTATATATTACGCTATTTCTTAATAAAGTTAAGGTTCTCGGGTCTAAATCAAATTAGCCCCAGCAAATTAAGGGACTGCTTAGACAAAATCTTGTAATCATTGCTCTTCCTCAAACACATATTTCAGCTCCTTTTTCTTTCAATGAATTGCCATCTATAATCTTGTTATGATTGTATGCTTCACGATTAGGGCGCCTTCTAATAATTATTACAGCCAGGGAGTCAACAGAAGGGTTGAAATTAAGAGCAAGTTATGGTGTGCGGTTAACCATTAAAAGCAATAAGAAACAACGATATGCGGCTTCCTATAACATCATTCAATAAAGATAAACTGCATGTCTTTTTCGAAAGTTTCATTGCTTTCTATGCAAGTGCTGACACTAGTCTTCCGATCCGCATCTTTGGATGAAGCAGGTGCATGCTATCCACCTGTTCACGAGCCAGTTTCAGTGCTGCAGGTAGACTTGAACGTTTTGATGTTTATGGTATAACATGCCTTTTTGCAGCAGCACATCCTTCAAAACACGCTTACCAATTCATGTCCTGGTTGGTGCAAAGGCGTGTGAATACAAGACTTGTATTCTAGGAGTGCCTAAATGTGTAGCATCCTCCAAGTCTTTAGACAAGTATAAAGAGAAAAAGAAAAAGGAACGTATACTAGTATTATAAGGCTACATATGACAAGGCCATTTCCTTAAGTGAGAATTGGCTTAGATAAAGTCTTCCTTACATCCTAAAGCAATTAAAAGGTTCTCATATAATTTTATTAACTTTTTGACTTGCTCACCAATGATACTTGGAAAAGCATTCAACATGAAACATAAAACTCCATTCAAAAGACAGATTTTGTTGGGCATCACAATCACAAGGCATTGCTATATGAGAAAACTAGCTAGACTGACCTAATTAAGTTGTTCCCAATATAAGTTAACGAAGAATCACATGGTCTGCATGATTGATTATGCAACTGTAATTTCCTGTGGAAACTGTGATCTCCTTTTATCATTTAGCTCTGCCTAACCAAATGTAAGCTAGCTTAGCTGCTGAAAGCAAGACCCATGAGAGGAGACAGAGAGAGAGAGAAATATTTATGATGAAGTGAAGGATCTTGTCAATAAGTTGGTGATGATCAAGGGGAGACATCATAATTCATAAAGGTCCATCTGATGGATCACAAAAGGACAGTTTGTCATATATGTTGGACATTCAACTTCTCCAGCTGGTATAAAAAGATGCCTAACAGAAGAAATCTGCTAAGATAAAAAGCCACAAGCCATCTTGCCAACATAATTGTTCTCCTTATTAATCTGTAAATCCCTCTTTATCACATATAGCTTCCCCTGAATTCGAAAGACAGCATAGATCCGGGAGAGGGGAAATTTGACAGACTACGTATCCCTCTTCGTGTTTTCTACATTTGGTGATGGCTCACATGTAGCTCACTTATAATTTGGGAATCAAAAACAAGCATTGATTGAGCAAGTAATTAGCTTAATGGAATCTAAAAATTAATTGCACCCAAAAAAGATGTTAAACTTACGATTGGACTGAATGAATAAGCTTAGAGGGCACTAATACCCGACAGTGCACCGCCTCTGTTGTGAACAGCGTGCAACAGTAAACACATAGACCTACTTTAACTACGAGCCGAGCCAAGCCAACTTCAGATGGCAACAGGCACGAACCTTTGATGAATTTGACAGGGTTTGAGAGCAGCCATGGGATGTGTCTCTCCAGTTGTGGGTCCCTGACCCCATGGCGTCTGATGACTTGATAAATTTGCACAAGTACTATATATTGTAGTGTCATTATTAGGAGGACAATTGCTGAATGACACAAAAAAAAAAAAAAAAAAAAAAAAAAAAGAAGAAGGTTTGTAAATGATTTGGATCCAAACTTCATTGAAGAGAGAGTGGGGAAATGCAGAGAGAAATGTAGGTAGTTAGGTAAGGTAGGTTTTAGCCTTTAGATTCTTTTGAAGATTTTGTCCCAGTGTCTTTTTTGTAGTCTAATTCCATCCAAATCTGTGAGAATAGTTCTCTCTACTCAACATTGTCAAGAAGAATGTACCAACTACGAACACAAAGCGCAATCATTGAACTTTTACGACATTTTGGTATAGAAACAGTTTTCATTACAAGATTCCAAATTTACCTGCATTATTCTTTCATTTTTTTGCCCAAATTTTGCATGTGCTTCTCCCTACACAGTCAGACTCTCTCTTTCTTCTTTTTCTTTTGTTCTCTTTCACTCCATCTACTCAACTGTTTAGCAACAGATATTGGACTTCACTTGATATGTAATTGATAATTTGATCAAATAGAGTTATGCTTAGCAGCTCTGGATTTTTCTTAGGATCAATGGCCTACAGCTTTTTCTTTATCTTGTTCATCAATAAAAAATATATTTTTCTTGCCTTTGCCTTTTTCGGCATCTCGAGCTACAAATATGCCAATAAGGTGGCTAGCTGGGACATGGAGAGCTTGAGGGAAACGGTACAAAAGAGCGTGCCTTGTCGCTAGTACGCCATTGCAGAGCACTGCTTGCAAGTTGAAATCATTGAAGAAAAATGAAAGCTAGCGGTGTGCGTTTTTCCTCCCATTAACAAGCTCAGCCGAGGGGACCCCTCCGTGTTAACAAAGCTGATTTCCTATAAACATTCAGTTTTTTGAGGTTCTGCACTGCATCATTAGTGCAGGCATGGCTCATGTACAGTTGCGGACAAAAAAGCTTGTCCTGTTCATACACCTGATAGCTGTCCAACTTAATCAAAGCCATCTGCTACGGTGCTCCTCTTGATAGCTCGCACGGTTTGTTTAACCATCAAAATGAGAATGGCAGTTGGGACCAAAATCAACAGCATGTACGGGATCTCTTGAAATAGACTCAGTTGTGAACTGCATCAATGATTTTCTATATAACAAGACAAGCATGCAGTGTGTTGTTTTCTAAAAACGTATACAAGCATTACAGATATTCACAAAAACTCTTGCAGCCTTCACCACTCTATCAATTATCCAAGCATTACATAGTAATTAAGTTAGGCAGATACATCCACCAGAAAAAGAAGTTCCATGCCTCCTGGACATTCTGGATCAAGGGCTTTTCCACAGAGCTCCCAAGTTTCTTAACAATACGGCAAGCCTTTTTATTGAACTTGTTCTGATCTGAACCTGAACCAGGATAAGTGAAGCTTGATTGCAGGCTTATATACTTAATCTAAATATCATAACCGAAGTACCTGAACAAATTTCTCTAAGTTTTCAGACAAATATTAGTTTCTCAGCTCAGTTCCCATGCGCCTACTACACAAAATGCACCTGTCATCAAAATAAACTGTAAGCAAGTAATCTGATCCCACTTCTAGAACTAATCTAAGCTTCTATCATTTTGAATGTTTGGCCACAAACAATCACATTATTCCCACTTTGAGAAGAACATAGTTTACATATTGCAACACAGAAAATAAAAACCAAGTGACGTAATTTCTCTCGTATATTTCCAACTTTGACTTATATCTATTTCCATATGAACTTTTCAGCTAAAATACATCTAGAAAAATCCAAGCAATCAATAGCCCAGTATATTTGGCCGAAGACTAAACAGCCTGGATTTGAAAGCATAAACCAAATGGAAGATTAACACTGAAGCACTGATGTTAGAATGTGACGATGTCCGTACCTTTTGACTCAAATGAAAAGTGATGCAATAATGTGTGTAAATCATAATTTTCATTCACAAGGAAAATAAGTACAGGACATGGTAGTGATTGGGAGCACATCTTAAGTCTGCTCCTGTTAGACAACAATTTTCATTCCAATGAGCAGTGGCATTTCAGCTTACTGAACCTGATTGTAACTATAGACCCACAGCTTTCTTTTTGGCCAAGAGACCCACAGGTTTAATATGTCTGCCAAAGCAAACTGACCTCACTCATATCTGTCTACAAAGAAATAGAAGATGGATCCTCATAATGCACCATAGCCACAAATTTTGCAATCCAAATCCCTGCTTTTCCTCCTTTGAAGAAGCTAACCTGATTACCTCCAGCAGAGCTGGTTTTGCACAGGCTAGGACACAAGGGGCAAGCCATCACATTTTGAAACCTCCACTTATGTTAAGCTTCTGGGGAAGTTCTGTCCATTTAAGGATTTTGACCGGCACTCAAGCACACAATGCTATTTTCAGTTTGCCATCATTTAGGCTCCTGGACAGGAAATGTTGGTAGCAATTTCAGAGTTTCATGATAGGCTTCATCCTTCGAGAGTAAATCTACAACTGCAGAGATGGTTGATGCATCAGGTGACAAATTTTTCTCCACCATTTTCTGAAGAAGTTCCACCATTTTTTGGGTCTCATTATTCTGGGAGAAACCATGCATGAGTGTATTAAACGTGACTACATTTGGAGAACAATCTTTTTCCTCCATTTCAATTAACAAATCATTTGCTTTTTCCAATTGCCCTTCCTTACAAAGCCCATGGATCATGATAGAATAAGTCACAACAGTTGGTGCCAGGCCTTTGTTAGGCAATCCATAAAATAGCTCCCAAGCAGTTTTAAGCTTCCCTGTTTTACACAGCCCATCAATAAGGGAGTTAAACATTTCAATGCTAAATTCGAACTCGCAATTTTCTAACTTATGAAACAGTTCCAGTGCCTCTGAGACATAACCATTTTTGCAAAGTCCATCCACGAAGGTATTGTAGGTGCAAGAATTGAGTGTGATGTTATCGACCTGCAGCTTACCAAACAGTTCTCGTGCTTCTTCAACCTTGCCTGCCTGGAAAAAACCAGTCAATAAGGTGTTATAAGTGATAACTGTTGGCCTAATCCTCTTGCATATCATTTCCATATAAAGACTCATAGCTTCTTCAACCTTCCAGTATTTGCAATAACCATTGATCATTATATTGTAGCTAATAGCATTTTGTCCATTCTCCTTACTCTGCATGGAAACAAACAAATCCCTAGCCACATCAAGCTTACCAGCCAAGCAGTACCCATCCATCAATGTGTTATATGTGAATATATCAGGATCTACTCCTCTCTGAATCATCAAATCCAATAATGCATTTGCTTCTTCCAATTTCTCCACCTTGCAGAGAGCATCTATTAAAACATTGAAAGTGACCACATTAGGCTGCACTCCTTGATCCACCATCTCAATAAACAGACCTTTAGCCTCCTCCAAATTACCCATGCAAGAAAAACCATGAAGTAGAGAGCTATAAACAACCACATCCGGATGAATTCCCTTACCCTTCATTTCCAAAAAAATTTCTCTTGCCTTTTCTAACATACCCTCCTTACATAGGCAATCAATAATACTACCATAAATAACAACATTAGGCTCCAATACCCCATTTCCTCTAACCATTTCCTCATATAACCTAAGTGCAACACTCGTATTCCCCATTCTACACAGACCATTAATCAAAGTCCCATAACTAACAATACTGGGCTGACAACCAAATACAACCATTTTCCTAAACAGTCTAGTTGCTTCACAAATCTTATTCTCCATACATAACCCTTTAACCAAAGATGTAAAAGTTACAGTATTTGGTCTATAACCCCCCCTAAAAACTCTCCCTAAAACGGCGAAACCATCAGTAACTCGACTCATATGACATAAACAATTAAGCAAAATATTCAAGGTAATAAAATCAGGTGAAATCCCAATTGATCCCAATTTGTTGTAAAGCACAACCACGCGATTATGGTGCTTAATCTTAACAAGGGCACCTAACAACAGATTAAATGATGACATTGGAGGAAAAGGTTTCATTTGGGTCATTGCATCAAACAAATTCAATGCTTCATTGAGTGTAATGGTGCCTGACTTACAGCTTGTTTTGACAAATTTGTTAAGTGGGTCTTGGCTTTCAACAGTTTTTTTGTTGGGGTTTGAAGATTTGGGATTGTTAGAAAATATGGGATTTTTCGGGTGAGTGAAGAGAGATGAGAGTTTACCTTTTGGAGTAGATTTTGAGGAGGAAGAGGATAAGGCAGCTCCATTAGCGGCTGAAGCAAAGCAGAGCGTCGTTTTGGCGACCATTTTTTCAGTGGCCTTGGGGTTTTGTTTGTTGAAGAAGTAATAAGCCCGGGAGATTGCAACGGCCGACGCTTGTGTAATAACAGCAACTCAAAACTAAAATGGAAATGAATCTTAGTTTTCTTGGGTCCATGGCCCATGGATCAACTAGGGGAAAACTGGACGTGAACAATTAGACAAGAAAAGCAGGGGAAAATATTGGAGAAAACAAAACGAAAAAGGTAGTGACCATTGGGAAAAACAAAAACTAAGGTGTAGTTTGATATTTTCTCAGATAACATTTTGATTTTTTTTTTTCAAATGAAATCTTGTATTTTACAAATGTTTCCACAAAATCAATGGTGTTAAATTTTTAATTAAATTTTTAACAAAAAAATAATAAAATCTTTATATTTAAAAGTATTTTTTTTGCATTTAATTCTAAATTGCTATATTCTTTTTCACATTAGATTCCATGCAAGAAATCCATCAAAAAAATTGCTCTAAAAAGATGAATGTTGATCATCACTTTCGTCAAAATTTTTAATGGTATATATATTTGGCCTTAACCATTTCAACTTAATTGACCAAATATTCCACTTATCTTCGCCTGCTCAACAACCAAAATGTCCGACTAGCCTCAACCATTCTTTTTCATACTTTTTTCCTGTTATTCTTTTTTAGTATGTGATCAAGTACTTTATATCATATTTAAGTTAAAATTGTGTAAGCTTTGACCCAATACGCTTTTAATGAAAAAGCTTGTATTAGAGTTTTGTTTATTTTATATATATATATATATATTTATGGCTAGATGCCGTCTTTCCTTCTAACCTATTTGCCCGTTGAGAGCCACCACAAATAATGAAAAAATACGAAGAGGAAGATTTAGCCTTAATCAGGATTTTTCTGCTTTTTTGCTACGAATAATGACTACCTCTATGAATTAAATAGGTACATAATAAATAATTGATGCATTTGGCATTCTAATATTCACACATGGGTCTAAGGATTCAACTTACATGTGATATTAGAGCAACTTGTGTGAAATTAGAACATAACAAAATTTTGAAATTTAATGAATTTATTTTGTAAGATTGTATGTTGAGGCATACTTATTTTTTGATTGTTGGAAATCTATTTTTTGGTTATCGTTTTTAGATATAAGGTTAGGGCTTTTCTTTCTCAGATTGTATAAATTGATTCTATATACACCTCTTCTTTTAACTCATACCATAGAGATAGAGATTAGATAATAAGTTTTGGGTTTAAATATAAAACCTAAAATTACACTCATGCATTTAACTCATTGGTTGGTATATAGTCTCTCAGCCTAAAGAGCAGGGTTTGAATATCTTTTTTCCCAATTATAAAAAATCTAAAATCTAATCGTTGATTAATTACTTATATTTTATATGTTTTAATTTAAATTGGACTCTTAAAATCAACTTTCATATGTTATAAAATTAATATTTAAATTTAATTACATAAAATATAAGTGTATTGTGACCAATTTTGAAGAAAACATGAAACGGGTTAGGAATGAGTTTCCAAATTAATTTTCTTAATTAATTGATCTTGATTTTGTAGTTATTTGATGAGTTTTAATACATAAGCATTATAAAATAAAGTCTTAATTGAGATTTATAAAGATCTATTTTATCAAAAATACTTAAAAAGCTAAGAATTAGAGAGAAATTAGAATAACGACCCAAATGGGTCGAATTTGATCTAACTAGGTCAGATTTGACCCAATTAAAAGTTGAGAAAATTAAAAAAAAAAATCTATTGGGCAATGAATCCCATTCTCAAGCATGGAGTGTGAGACGGGTGAGGCCCATTAGGCCCATGATTTTTAAAATATTTTTTAACAATTTTTCTCCACTTGCCTAACTTTACATATTGTACTATTTTTATGAATTTTTTAATATATGTTTAATATTTATTTATTTATATGTGCATTTAATTAATTATTTTAAATTTTTGTATGAAATATTTCTAAACTGCATGTGATAGAAAAATAATATGCATATGTTTAAGTTGAATGGCTATATGTACTCTCCTTAAATTAGTCTCTAAATTTGTATACTCTTATGTTGAAATTGTATACATAATTTAGAGAATATATTGTCTTTATTTTTAAAGTTCAAGACTCTAAGTTTTAATGCAATGAATACTATTTGAGACCAAATGAGATACACCAAGACTTAATACCTCAGCAAGAATGGCCCATTGCATACATTGGGTTGAGTATGTAAATTAAGAAATTTGGGCAAATAATTAATTTTCGGTTTAAGAAATTTTTTTGTTAATTGATATAAATGTTTCGCTGCCAAAGTAACTCATTTATTGAAATTAATGGATTATTTTCTTAAGCAAAAGGTTAGAGGATGTTTTTTTAAATTGCTTTATACAATTACCTGTCCAAAAAGGGTTATTGTGTAAGGTAATTTAAAGTGAGTTATAAAGCATCATGGTTGAGAGTATACTGGTCTAGAAAGTCTATATGCCTAAAGGGGATAGATTTTTCGAAAACTAAAATATTCTCATATTATCTTTATGTGGAGAATGCCTTTTAACATGTCATATTCTCTATTCAAAGGGGAATCTGTGATGATGCACTTAAACTCTTCAATTATTTTCTTTTAGCACATTGTGAATTATTGCCAATTATTTTGTTATTGCCCAATTAACTAATAGTTGTATTTCTTGTCTTGAATAGTGATATTTATTGTGAATAATAATCAAGCTACTATTAAGACTCTTAATGGGTCTAACTTTAAGATATGGAATGAAGATTTGTCTTTTTCCTTGGTTATGAGTAAAATACACATAGCCTTACGTATTGATAAGCGTGTTGCCCTTACTAACAAGAGCACTATTAAGGAAAAAAAGTTCTTTACTAAATGGGATAGAACAAATCGCATGTGTGCACATGCCATTAAGAGATCTGTTTCTAAGCATCGATTAAGTGGGTTACAAAAGATTGAAATTGCTAAAGAATTTTATGAAGTAGTAGGTGAAAGATATAAAAAATCCAATAAGTCTAAGGCTAAGAACCTTATGAATGAGCTTACGAATATGAAATATAACAATGGAGAGGTCAGGGATTTCAGCATGAACATGGTCCACATTCAAACTAAATTGGCTTTCCATGACATCACATTTTTTAAAAAATTCATTGTCCATCATGCCCTTAATTCCTTACCTATTGAGTTTACCCAAATTAAAACTGCTTATAATGCAATGAATGAGGTTTAGAGTGTTAATGATCTTATTTCTAAGTGTCTCTGAGGAAGAAAAACTCAAGAAAAAAAACAGTGAGAGTGCCTTGTTTACCACTAATTCCAAACCTTACTATCGAAAGAATTTTAAAAAACTTAGAAATGCTCATAATCAGGACAATAAAGGACATGGTAATGGTCAAACTAAAAGGGTATGAGGTCCTAAGTTGTCATAAGGAAAAATGTTAGGTGCTTTTCCCGCAAGAAGAAAGGTCACATGAAATATGAATGCCCCAAGTATAAGTCTTGGTTAGAGAAAAAGAATAAATAAAAAGGTAAGTCATTAGCTCTAGTTTGTTTAAAATCCTATTTTGTTAGTGCACCACCAAATTCACGATGGCTTGATAATGGTGCAACTGTTCATGTTGCTATTACAGTGCAAGGGTTCAAAAGCAAATGAAAGCCAAGTGAGAGAGAGGCCAAGCTTAGAGTTGGAAACAATGCCGAAGTAAATGCCAGTCATGTAGGAACTATAGGTTTAAATTTAGAACCTAATTTTGAACTTGTTCTGAAAAATGTTTTTCGTGTACCGACATTTAGGCAAAATATGATTTTAGTTTCTGTTATGGATAAACTTGATTATTATTTTAGCATTGGTGATGAAAAAGTTGACTTGCTTTTAAATTTTAAAGTTATTGGAGAGTTGAAGCTTATTTATAATTTATATAGATTATGCTTTATCCCTCATAATGAAAATAGTCACATGAATGTGGAAAACATTGTGTATCTTTTATTAAAGAAAACTCTTCTTTGTTGTAGCATAAAAGAATAGGTCCCATTTTTAATGAGAGAGTTGGGAGATTTAACAAAAGATGATATTTTACATAATCTTGATTTTGAAAAGTTAGATACTGGTGTAGATTGCATAAAAGGTAAAATGATTAAGACTAAAAAAGAAGGGGTAACTCGTAATAAGGACATTTTAAAAGTTGTGCACACTGATATTAGTAGACCATTTACACCTACCTTGTGTGGTAACAAGTATTTTGTTAGCTTTTATTAATGATTTTTCTCATTATGGTTACCTTTACTTAATAGATGAAAATTTTGATGCTCATGAAAAATTCAAAATTTTCATAACAGAGCTAGAGAAACAATTATGGAAAGTGATCAAAATTGTTAGGTCTTACCGATGAGGTGAGTATTATAGCAAACATGGTACAATTGGACAGCAAATGGGACCATTTGCCAAATATTTACAACGGTGTTGAATTATTGCCCAATATACCATGTCTAGTAGTCCTAAACAGAATGATGTGGCCGAAAGCGAAATCGCACCTTTAAGGAAATGATTAGGAGTATGATGAGTAAGACTAACATTCCTAAGTCCTTTTGGGGTGAAGCCATTAAAACTACTTTGTACATTCTTAATAGAGTGCCTAGTAAGTATGTTCCTACAACACCTTTTAAGTTGTGAACCGGTAGGAAACCTAGTTTGAACCATTTTCGAGTTTAGGGATATCCAGTAGAAGTTAGAATTTTTAATCTTTTTGAAAAAAAGGCTGAACCTAGAACTGCGCGTTGTTATTTTACAAGTTACTCAAACCATTCTAAAGGATATAGGTTTTTTTGCTCTACACATGGAACTAAAGTTGTTGAATCACAAGTGGCAAAATTTCTAGAGTTGGATGTTGCTGATAAGGCTATGATTGAACTTGTTGATGGTAGTGATTCTATCAGACATGTAACCATTCCTTTACCAGCTTCACAAGGTAGTATAGTAATTATAGCTATTGAGAAAGAAGACCTTGGGCAAGATGATATAAATCTTCCTTCTCAAGATCCTGTTTTTACTTCTATTGATGTTCATCTTATTCAAGAAAATGAGGTTAAGGTACCCTTAAAGAAATCTTGTAGGTAAAGAAAGTTTGCTATTCTTAATGATTACATGGTTTTTCTAGGAGAGAATGATTACGATGTTAGTCATGTGGTGGACCCTATGACTTTTAAAAATGCCAATAATAGTGCTTAGTTTGTTATGTGGATGGAGATGAGGTGAGTTCTATAGCTTAGAATGATGTTTAGGAGCGAGTTGAACTTCCAAAGAGATGTAGACCAATTAGTTGCAAATGGGTGTATAAGACCAAGAAAGATTCTAAGAGAAAATTTGAGAGGTTTAAGGCTAGGTTAATGGCAAAGGGATTTACTCAAAGAAAGAAAGTAAATTATAGTGAGACTTTTTCACCAACGTCTTCCAAGGATTCATTTAGAATCATCATGGCCTTAGTAGCACATTTTGATTTAGAGCTTCATCAAATGGATGTGAAGACAACCTTTTTCAATGGTAACCTTGAAGAGAACATTTATATGGTTTAACCTAAAGGATTTCAAGAATTAGAAAGTCAAAATTTGGTATGTAGACTTAAAAGGTCCATTTATGGTCTAAAGCAAACTTCTAAACAATGGTATTTAAAGTTTAATGAGATAGTTACTTCCTTGAGTTTTGAGAAAAATAAAGTTAATCAATGCATATACCTCAAGATCAGTGGGAGTAAGTTCATTTTACTTGTGTTATATGTGGATGATATCTTGCTAGCTAGTGAGGATGTTGGATTGTTGTATGAAACTAAGCATTCATTGTCTTGGACTTTCGACATGCAAGATCTTGGTGATGCCTCATTTGTACTTGGGATTGAGATGTGTAGAGATAGATCTCGAAATTTATTAGGGCTTTTCTAGAAAACATACATTGATCGCGTGCTAAGCAAATTTAACACGCGGAATTGTAAGACTGGAGATGCACCTATTGTGAAAGGTGATAAATTTAAGCTTAGTCAATATTCAAAAAATGATTTGGAGAAAGAATCTATGAAAAGATACCTTATTTTAGTGCAGTTGGAAGCCTTATGTATGCATAAGTTTGCACTAGACTAGACATAGCTTTTGTAATGGGGATTCTTGGCAGATATCTTACTAATCCAGGTCTGGATCATTGAGTTGCTGCTAAGAAAGTGATGAGATACTTGTAAAAGACTAAAGATTATATGTTGGTATACAAAAAGCTAGATAACCTTAAGATTGTTGGTTATACAAATTCTGACTTTCACTGGTTGTCAAGATGACATAAAGTCCACCTCAGGAGTTGTTTCTTGGGAGAGTGTTAAGCAAATTCTCTTAGCTTCCTTTACTATGCAAGCTAAGTTTTTGCTTGTTATGAGGCTACCATGCTAGCTGTTTGGCTTAAAAATCTTATTTTTAGACTATGTGTTGTTGATTTCATCTCTAGACCTCTTAAAACTTATTGTGATAATAGGTCTATTTTAGTCTTATTGTGAGACAAGCATGAGAGCCCAATTAATATTAAAGTGATTAGTTAATGATGAGCTTTGCATGTCTAATTGGATTAGTGTGGTTTGACGGTTGTGTAAGCTTTGACCCAATACGCCTTTAATAGGAAGACATATACTAGGGTTTTGTTTATTATATATATATATATATATGACTAGGTTCCCTCTTCTCTTTTAACCTAACAGTATTTGCCCATTAAGAGCCGTCACAAACAATAAAGTAGTGCGAAGATGAAGATCTAGCCTTAATCAAGAATTTTCAATTTTTCTACTGTAAACAATGGTTACCTCTATAAATCAAACATGTATGTAATAAATAGTTGATGCATTTGGTGTTCTAATACTCACACATGAAGTATTATCATAGAAAAAGAAATTAATTTTTTTTCATTTATAACAACATATAACTTAAACTTCTTTTTTGTCTATATTTCAATATCGAATTATTGTTACTTAGTCTTTAATTTAGTCGACAATAACAAAAAATAAAGTATTTAAAGCAATCAATTCAAGATTAATCAAGAAGTTAATTACAAGTTTAATCAAGTTTACCTTTTCAAATTAATGGTTTGCATTTAAAAAAAAAAAAAAAGTCAACCATACATATCCATATTTTTTCCTTTCAAGCAATAATAATAAAAATCTGATTCCCCTTGCTAGCATAACCACCCTGTACCCATATCTTCGCTAAAAAAGATTCCATCTAATTAATTGTATTGCACAAACATCAAAGAAAGCAATGTGACCACTCCATAATTAATCAATGAATTCCTAGTTTCCAATTATACCGTACAAGTATGCATGCAACTGCATGTGGATCCACCTTTGTGTTGGACATGTTATCAACCTATATCCTCCGTGACAGTGTGCGCGTGCGTGTATATATATATATATATATATATCTAACAACATCCCCGAAGTTATATTGAAGCTTATGGATCTAGCTACGTACCATAAATAGCACAAAGTTGAGAATACAAGAAATCATCTTGTTACATCTGTCATTATTCGATCTCAATGAAGATCCATAATACCACCTGTCGCCTTTTACCACTGCCTCCAAACCGATATAACGATCAACATGCAGCTTCAAGGTCAGGGATAATGGCAAATCTGTTTCTCGTATTGGGGTTATCAGACCAGGAAGAAAATTCTCGTTTCTGGAATTCTAAGACATGCAGAGAGGTAAGCTTCTAACAACAAAACCTGTCAGCCTCCTGTTAATTACGATCCTTTCCTTGGCCATATTATTACTTGACGTAACGCATCTATGTGAACTTTCATTCCATACCTTTCCATTTCTTCAGATCATAACAGCAAACCCACTTTCACACAGATCATGGTTGCCTCTTCGATTGGCTTCATCATTGCAGCAGCGGTGCGGTATCATCTTAGGAAGCTAAGGGATCAAAAGATCATCCCACGCCTAAGATCAAGGGACAAAGGCCACGGCCGCATTGAAAAGCTAGAAAGGTTTCCTCACTACGTAGGTAAATAATATATATGATCCCATGTCTTCTCCTCATCCATTTACATCTTTCAAGTCACTGTCTCATTTTCTTTCATATCTTCCTATTTCAGCTAGGCAGATGGGATTTAAAGATAGAAGAGAATGCCCTTTGCTTTGCAAGTTGGCTTCAGAATACATCAGGAAATCCGAGGGTTGTGAAGATGATATATATACATTCTTTTCCAATGAGCCGGATGTGGATTCGCTCTTTGTTAAGCTTGTGGAGGAGTTTGAGAGATGCATTCTTAGTTATTTTGCATTCCACTGGAGCCATGCAGATCTTATGATTAGTCAGGTAATCAAGATCTATATACATCTTGGAAATGTTAGAATATTGATGATTGATGAAGAATGAATTCATTCTTTTTTTTTTTCCTGTACTCTGATGGGAATATATGTGTATGTGTGTATATATATATATATATATATATATATAAATACATAGTAAATTAATTGTTTTCTACCACATTATTTCAGGTATTAAGTTCTGACGTTGAGCCCAAGAAAAAGCTCAAGCAGATTGTTATGGCAGCAACTAGGTTGGGCAGTGTTTCATTACTAAAATTTGTTCTGTTCATAGTTATTGCCAGATCATAATGACGATAGCGAAATATTATAATGAGGTAGACAACCTTGAATATGCATCCAACAAAGAGAATTGCAAAATATAATTAGAACAAATCTCAAACTCTCTCCTTTATTAATTTTTCATCTTGAACAAGGCTGCCTGAATGAGAAACTAAAATGTGGCCGCCTGTTAATCATAATTCTGCCTTGATAATTTTGGTATAAAAGAACCCTTACTCATGTTCACACTAGCTTCACAATTTCTAGTTCATCTATAGTAAGGAACTGTATGTGCCTCTTTTCCGTGCACAGGGAACAACACACTTTAGCTATAACTGGTTACTGCAAGAAACTCTGATTAAAATCTTTAACTAGCCAAGATATAGTCTGGTACCACTGTTTTCATACTAATATCTAAACTAGAAACTTTCTTTCTTTCTTTTTTAAGAAAAAAGATACTCTTGCTTTTCTAATACAGGGAACAGAGATTTGAGAGGATGACAAAAAATCTGAAGGTGGCAAGAGTTTTCACCACATTGGTGGAAGAAATGAAAGCAATGGGCCTCACATCAACCGATGACTCTCAGTGTACAGAGGTGATGGCTCCAGTGGCTCACAGTGATAGAAGTCCAGTGCTGCTACTCATGGGAGGTGGGATGGGAGCTGGGAAGAGCACCGTGCTTAAGGACATTCTCAAAGAGTAAGCCCTACACTCCAAAAAAAAAAAACAAACCAACTGAATAATCGTGATACTCAACATCTCACATCTAATGTGAATGTTAAGACTTATATAACCATCCAAGTCTACTACTACTAGTAATTTGAGCTTAAGCTTTTGAGGGCCACGTGATTTAAGTTCAAAAAGTTGTTGAGCTAGTGGTTGGACTTGGGTCATTATAAATGGTATAAGAGAGCCTACGCTAGTCCGATGTGAGCTTTCACATCATTCACATACCTGTGGATGTGATATGTGTGTGACCTTAATGAGGACATCAAGGATTTAACTGGGTGAGATTGTGATACCCAACATCTCACATCTGATGGGCCAGTGATTGGATTTGAGTCATTACAATAATATTATAGTTTTAATGTTTCAAGAGATGGAAGGGATTTAAATGCAAAAAGGTAAGAAAAAGAAATAAGATATACAAGCACTCCCACACACATCAATTTTTTCATCCAATAAATATTTAAACTTAAGCTAAAGCACTCTTTGATTTAAAGAGGCTTTTTTTGCCAGATTCTTAGAGAGCTTTTAAACATTATATGTTGAATACCAAAGAGTATTTAAGTACCAGAAAAGATAAAATGTCTATAACAGAATGTAGAAGATCAGGTTATACACAAACCAATATTCTCTTCCTTTTGTTCCTGCTACAAGTAACTGTTGTATGGATAGACCATATTTCTGTCAGGTAGTTGTTCTTTATAACTTGCTTTCCAAGTAGCAGTAAATATGAGCAATTACTAGAACTAATGTCAAGTTTCTGGATAAAATATAAGCAGACCATTCTGGGCAGGAGCAGCAGGGAATGCAGTTGTGATTGAGGCAGATGCATTCAAAGAATCAGATGTCATCTACCGAGCCCTCAGCTCCACAGGTCATGTGGACATGGTCCATACAGCTGAATTAGTAAGAATCGCGCACTCAGCCCCATCTTCTTTCCAATGTTGTAGTTCACCTGGTCCTTTCTTTAGCAAACTGAAATCCTATCATTCATATGATATCATTTCAGGTCTATTGACCTTGTTGTCTCCTAAAACAGCATGATGGTTAGGGGAATGGATCTGTTTAAGGACACGTTGACCTATTAACAATCACGTATTAGAAAAAAATTCAATGACATAGGCTTAATGAGCAAAACTGGTTTCACAATACAATAGCAACATACTAAGTTTCCTCCTACTGTGCAGGATCAGTTATATCGATTTTAAGTTTTAAGGGAAACTTTGCAATCACACAAGACTTCAGTTTTCTCCATTTCACTCATCCCACTTGGATCCTATGAGTGGCATCCTATCACACAAGCTGGTTGCACTTTAGGCATAAACTTCCTTTGCTTTTCTGTTTTATGAGCATACATTTTAGTAATTAACTAGACTCAAAACTAAAACATAAAGTCCATGAAGCCTGATGACACATGGTTGGGCTGCAATATAAACATAGAAAATATTAACTGTCAACATTCTCAACAAATGCATACCTGAATGGCATCTGATACAGGTAATTTTCCTGCCTCCCCTATTGCAAGGGTCCCATGTAATTGCTTTGTGAGCTACTCTGGGGTCAGAGTTTCTTCCATCAATCTGTAACCAATGACCGTCACCCCAGTAACCATAACCTGTAATATCCTACCACTGCCACTTGTGGTCCTACAAGAGTTTACCTTCCACATCACTTGGCATTTAATAGCTGGTCCATTCCTGAATAAGTATCTCAAACATTCTATGGTTATAAATCTTTCATTTTCTTATCTCCACTAAGTCATCATAGACTCATAGTGATATGACAACCCAAAAGGACAACACCACCTTAAGTGTTCAAAGCAACAAAAATTACTTCATACAGGTAAATGTATAATTTGATGACAGTTTGAATGCTTCTTATGGTATCACCAAACTGGAACTTGGTTTTTGTAGAACTCTTATAATTTATCAGAACTTATGACCCGATAATAATTACTCCAAACAGGTGCACCAATCATCTACAGATGCAGCATCATCCCTTCTAGTGACAGCACTCAATGAAGGGCGGGATGTGATCATGGATGGAACACTCTCCTGGATACCATTTGTTGTGCAGACAATAACTATGGCCAGATGTGTCCATCGCCGCCGATATCGTATGGGTGTTGGTTACAAGGAAGGACCTGATGGCACTGTAACTGAGAACTACTGGGAACAAATCGAAGAAGAAGATCAAGTGCAAGAAGGAGGGAAAATGAGGAAGCCATACAGAATAGAGCTGGTTGGGGTTGTTTGTGAAGCCTATTTAGCGGTTATTAGAGGCATAAGGTATGGCACACATGGAAAAATAATACAGTTGGTTGTCTTTTTCTTTTTCATTATTCAACTAGTTGGTAAGAAGTCTTCTCCTTTTTACACTAAGATACTGATTTTATCAAGGTCTACAATATTCTCAGGAGAGCTATAATGTGTAGACGAGCAGTAAGGGTGAGGTCACAATTGACATCCCACAAGAGATTTGCAAATGCATTTCCAACATACTGCCAACTGGTTGACAATGCCAGGCTATATTGCACCAACGCTTTGGAAGGTCCACCTAAGGTGAATTCACTATCCCTCATCTTTGTTCTTAATTTCTCTTGTTTCCGTAGGCACTTTATAAGTTGACATAGAGCTGAAAGGAACATCATAGCTCCCTTAAGAAGTTTAAATCTGGAACCTAAGGTCAGTACATACAGAACAGAGCGTGATTATATTAGAGTGGACCCATCTTGAATCACTCAGCTTGGCATAAGTTCAGCAAGCGCTGCTATTTTGCACATCATTAGACAATTCAATACAGAAGGTTCGGTGGCTGGCTTTAAATTAGGTGAGGAGAATTGGAAATTCTGTTAAAGCCTTGAACCCAACTCAAGCTTTCAGGAATACCATAAGCCGGCTTAACTCTGCTAATATGATTGGACAAACCATCGTAGTATGCAATCTAGAACAGTCATCTCACTGTTTTAAAGCAGTAATCTACAAATAGGATTTCTTCTAGGAATGCAAACTTGCATTTTCTTGTTCGGGATGGAACTCTTATGAGTGTCTGATCGTATATAGTGGAGATAGTGGTTTTGAACCCTCAAAAGTCCAAAACAACTAAGTTGAGTTAAAACTGAACCTCAAGAAAGGTAAATTCCAGCTGAACCTAGTTTACTCCATTACAGTCCTAAAACTAACATGTAAAGGGGGAAGAAGAAATAGCCTTGTAAGCAGAGATAGCTGCTGCAGCATCCAGGAATAAACAAATAAATTATGCAGGAACTTTAATTGCTAGCAAAATACTCCTTGCAATCAAATACTTGTTATATTGACATAGCAATGGTTGTGAAGTTGATAGGATGGAAAGACAGAGACAAGACTTTGCTGGTTGATCCAGATGAAATTGACTGTTTAAAGAAGGTTGGCAGGCTGAATGAGAAAGCAGAGTCCATATATGAACTTTACAAGCACCCCAACCCTGCTTGTGAAGCTGGTTCAATTTGGAAAGACATTGTATTATCACCTTCTAGATTAAATATTCAACAGGAGCTGAAGTATTCCATCCAGAAAGTGGAAAGAATGGCACAGCTGTAATGGAGTTTCGAACTTATGACAATCGACAGACAAAAAGTTGAAAGCTGAAGGAGGTGTCTCAAACCTTTTGCTTACCAAGGTTGTATTACGATCATGACGCTTATTTGTAAAATTGTCTCTACTAGATAAACTCAGTTCAGATGGTGAAACTGAAAAACGGAATATTTCGATTAATTATGATGGGTGTTTCAAATAATTTGCTAGTATAGGTGTGGAACTTATCATATTGTAAGTCCGAAAGGGAATTAAAAAGAAAGCAATTACAGCTGAATCTTAAGCACAGCTAAAATGTTCTTACCTATAAATTCAATTAATGCAGACAGAGCATGGTTCTATTACAATAAAATTTAAAGATTTTCTTAGATTACACATGCATCCACACAAACAGTGCATAACAGCAACCAAAGGAAGACTAAAGATCTAGCTTTCAAGTTCAAGCAAGAAACAAACAGAATAAACATAATAATTACCAAAAGATGCAGGTTCTTTTATGACCTTTTTTATAATTATTATTTCAAAGCTGGGAATTAACTGGATTGCACTTCTCTTTCAAGCGTTCAAGTGTGCCGCTTATACACACCTAGCATTACCAAATAGACAAAAGAGTTTTTATCAATTCTCTAAAGTCTAGGAAGCATCTTCTGTTATCTTTTGACTACAAGATCTATAGTTATTTTTTCAACATTTTCTATTAAGCTTCAATTCATATATGCTAAATCATTGCAGCAACTATATCTCCTCATGACATGTTTGAAATCCATCTCTTTCAAGACATAACCTTCACTGTTGGAAACAGGTATTGAACCCAAAAATTTCAGAGTCATAAAACCTTCCTCTATGACACCAGATGTATAATTTCCTACTGCAATACAATGAAAGAAGCATATTTAGCTCATCGGGAAGTTAAGCTCATATCTCCAGATAGAGTAAAAGAAATCCACTCCTGTGTGAAAATTGCTCCGACCTAGACTAATAAAGTAATAATTCACTGATCAGCGTCAAATCCACTAAGTTATTTAGGTTTACTCTGTGACAGCTAAGACAGAGGAAAATTAAATTAGACCTCTGAAGCAAGTAACTATAACTACCAAAATATATGCACTACTAAGATCTGTGATATCAGCACCCTTTTTTATATTAAGTTGTTTAATCGGTACTAGCCTACTCAATAGTCTCAAATTATTGTGACAGAATGACCCTTGTCAGTTGTACTACCACATGTATTCTGGTAATCTAAGCACTGGTATCAACAATAACTTTCCTCCTTCCAATCAGTGACTTCAGCAAAATATATTAGCCGCTAGAGAAAATGAATTACGTAAGACCTGTTTGGTTGATGCTTCTCTTATTTGCATTTTACTTTTTTTTACAAAAAAATTAATAGAAAGAAAAAAAAGGGAAAATGAACAGGAAAACAAAAGATAGATAGCAAAAAACAAATGCATAAGTATCAACCAAACACAGCCTTAATGATCCAAGGAAAGAATATGACTTCTTATTTCTTTCTAACATGATTGCAATTGGATCATTATTCCAATTTTTTAAATCAAAGGATTGTTTTAACTGTTTGAAACAGCATCTTAACTATCTCTCACCCCTTTGATCCACCATTCTTTCCCAAATCATACATATTATAAGCTAAACCAAGAGTTTACTTGTGAATGATTTAGTTGGTGGAACTTGCCCTTGGTTCGCAACAGCTATGCTTCCTTTGTTACCAAAAAGGACTTTAAAAAACTATGAAAGGGTAGTACAGTGAGAATTGTCATTGAGAAGTTACTCGGTTACCTATTATTTCCGCACAAGTGAACAATCAAGTGTGGTTTAAGCCCAAAAAATTACTGGGGAAAATAATAATATTACCACTTAGTGAAGAGCTTTAAGGAAAGCATTCTAAATAAGTATATGAAACTTTCTTCAGAAGTAGGAACCGCTGCTACCATTTGTAATGATAACAGAATTAGCAGTAATAAATACTTACAACTTTGGACCAGTAGACGCACAAAAAAAGAAAGATAGAAATAGGAAAATGTGATCCTTACTTCTTCTCTGTGTGGTTGTTTTTGGTACCTTACTTTCAAGCAATTCCTGTCCCAAGCTTGTCATGTTTAAACTCACTAACCACAAAACATGTAACGACAGTGAAGATTGACATTGAAGGGAAAGATGAACAAATACCTGATGAGAAAATTCACCTTACCAGTAACTTTGGCAAATGGACAGCACTTTAAATGGTGTTAAAAGCAAGAAAGTTGAGGAACTAGAAATGTTTGAGATTCTTGTAGGAATGGCTTGAAGAGCATCCCACAAGCGTACATTAGCTGTAGCTGCACACGCACCAATCAGAAGCAACTAGTGAAACTTACAGCAACACAATGAACACTCAAAGCAACTTCACGAGTACAGCATATTTTAGTACCTACAATATCAATTTTAGTACCTACAATATCAACATACCATGTGCAGATAAAGCCCTTGAAAAACCTCTATGTCTAATCCCAATAAGTTTCAAACTGTTATCACAAATCACCATTAACCATCAGTCTCGTATATCAGAAGCAAAGCCATACATAATACTGTCCTCCAAGAATTACCTACAATCACCGCCTTAACCAGCCATGACCGCTTAGATCACAATCGGTTGTTACTTGGACATTTCTTAATCCTTATAAGAAAATTGAATAAACTCCCTCCTCCCTTGATCAGGATCAACAAACATAGATCAGTAAATATTACACGCATTTCTTATAATGATATCACAAACAATGAAACAAGTGTTAGTTTCCAAATTTATGCTTTTGTGAGTATCAAGGTAGACTGAACAAATGCAACAAAGTCGGAAATTTTGAAGTTACTAAAATAGTAATATCTCAGAATATCAACAAGAAACATAACAAAATGACTATGGCCAGCAGCACATCCAGAACTCTATCATCAGCATTTGACAGATAACAAAAACAAAATACTTAAGCCTTTTAGGCAATGCTATGAGAGGGAGAAAATCAAAAGAATAGTTGCTAAAATTTAGTAAAATCTTTTAAATGTCAATAAATACATCCATGTAAATTTCAGTTGATCATTTTGGAAAAGTTCTGCCCTGCTTACTCCTCCCAAAATTTAATTTCCTGGTGAAAGTTTAAATAGACACCTCAACAGTCACAGTGGCAGGTGGGGAGAATGTTGTTGGCCAGGGAACCAGGTTCAGCATGTAATTAACTCTTTGCAAAGATAAAAAACTCTTCCAAAATCAATTTCATATTTAGATTAATGACAATGAAACATTTATTCATGTTCATTCCTGAAATTACCAAACATTTTACAAATTTTCATGAGCGACCAACATTCCAAAAAATTCAATGTTCCCACACTGCAACCACAGAAAAATATGTTGATACTTGAGCGCATTGCATAATTGTGTAATGCAGACCACTCTCAGCAAACATGGACAGCATTCCAATGTTTTTCTTATTTAAAACCAGATCTCCGTCACTCACTGACATTATATATGAAAAAAACATTATCAAGTGTTTATCCACATAATGACCTGGTTTTAGAAAAGAGGAGCTTTTAGGTATTACCCTACCTTTAAACATGAAGCAAAAAAGGGCAATCCAGATTGTGATTGCCATATCTAGCTAGGATCACTCTCTAATTTTTATGACAGCCGGCATAATTCATATTTAAAATTACAAGAATCACTACAACTGCTCAGTTTTAGTTATGGCTCTGTAGATACAATGAAACCAGGAGATTTTTTTTTTTTTTTGGTTCTTTTTTGAGCCAGTACCATTAAATTTTATGAAATACCATATTTTCAATTGAAAATTATAAATCATGTCTGTGCTTTTCCCCCTATATGTTCATTCCTTTTGCGGTTTTGCCGGATCTCTTCTCTTTCAATTGGATGTATCAAAAGGCACGATTAACTAGCTTTCACTCCATGAAGAGCATAAAAGAAATGTAGAGACAGAAGCATGTTAATCAAATTCAGCTCACAAAATGAAAAAAAAAAAAATCGCATGTAATCTAGAACCAACCGCGTTAATAAGCATTCAAGTCTAAAGCAGACTCTTAAGCTCAATTCAATGTGTACAACCGTCCACCAAATTAGGTAAAGTAATTAGGTTGGAAACCAACATGGAAGAAATTCCAAACAAATGCAGCTGTGAAATTGCTTAAAAAGTATAAGCAAATCCCCAGGGTTGAATCAAACAGGCATGAATTTTATTAAATTAGCTACTGCCAGCAGCAAGTACCTTCATTTCCCCTTGTTTCGAGTTAATGTTGCTGCGGAGAAGTTGAAACCTTCAATCTTTCCTTTGGACGCAACCTCCTTAAGATTACCCCAAAAATCAAAACCCTAGTTCCGGAATTTGTAATCTACTTACTTGAGAATGGACGAAGCGGTGATAAAGCAAACGAGCAGATATGCAGAATGCAGAATAACAAGATAAAATTATCAGAGCTCTGAATTCATCTCATAATCCATTCAACTGAAAATTACATCTAAAACCTGTTTTACCAACCCCTGACGAAATTAGAAAATCAACGTCGACCAAAAAAAAAACAAAAAAAAAATATAAAAGACTCGGAACAGTTTTTAGAAAATTAAACAGAAAGAACAAAGATTAAGATCCGATGTCATATTTTCATGGGTATCCATGGACCCAAATACACCCACTAAGCTTCACTCAAATTTACAAAACTACCCCTACATCAACTAGCCTGTCCTTTCTCTCCTTTCGTGTCATTTCCTTCCCCTCCTCGTCGTGCCTTTCTTCGCTGGTGACTTGACAGTCTTCGGCTTTACGCTCTTCGCCGGCGCTCGCGCAGGAGCTTTCTTCGTGGCTGGTTTAGGGACAGCCGCCTTCTTCCCCGGAGACGTCCTTGTTGAAGTCCTTGCAGCCTTAACCGGCTTCTCCTTAGGCTTAGGCTTGGGCTTGGCTACAGCCTTTGACTTCGCAGCTGCAGTAGCCTTCGGCTTCAGAGTCGACACCGCCTTCGTCTTTGTTGTGCTAGACTTCGACTTACGAGGCGCCTTTGGTATAGCCGCCGCTTTAGTTTTCGTCTTAGAAGCAGCTTTCGTCTTGGCCGGAGCTTTCGAAGCCGCTTTTGTACTCCTCCCTTCCTTTGCCTTTGAAGCAGGTTTAGGCTTTGATTTAGTAGCAGCCGGCTTCTTCTTTGCCGGAGCAGAAGCAGCCGTAGCCAGCTTCGAAGACCTAGCCGATGGAAGTTTAAACGAATTCTTAACCTTAACCAACTTCCCGGCAGCCACGAGCTTTTTCAAATGGAAAAGCAAAAGCTTCTTAAAAGTTCCAGGAAGATGCTTTTGTTTCTCTTCAATGAATTTAGTAATAGCGTACTGACTGGAACCTGTCTTTTCTTTCAAAGTAACAACTGCATCTTTGATCATCTATCACATAGCAATCAGATATTAACACGTAATCAGATCCACAACTGCAAAAATAAGAAAACCAAAACATACGAAGAAAAAACGTTTCAAAATTTTGAATTACGGAATACCTCTTCGTAAGGAGGATGAGAAGGTGGAGCTCGCGGTTTCTTCGGAGCTGCAGCTTTCTTGGCTTTGGGTTCTTTGCTTTTCCTTGTTTTGCCCGATTTCGCACCGGATTTGTTCTCGGCCGGCTTGTTTTCTGCCGCTTCAGGTGCAGAGTCCACCGCGACTGTTGGTTCCTCGGTGGCCATTTTAGAGCGAGAGAGAGGGAGAATTTGAGGAATCCGGTCTAGCGTTAGGCTTCGGAGGAAATTGGGAAATGAAAGATAAGATAAAGGAAGAGAGATTTGGATCTAATCTCAAGGTTGAGGTGTACTGGTAATATCGTTGTGTGAGGAAGGTGGCGGGGATCAAGGGCTTTAAATAGTCAAGTTGTGAGAGAGACGGTATCCATAAGATGAAATTTGATTGGTGGAGACGACTAGCACGCGGATCGCTGTCCTTCGTAAGTTTAAATGTTGGCCGTTGGATAAGGCGCTATCTACGGTTGAAGATACAAGGGTTGGGAAGAGAATGGATGGGGAGGATTGGGGAGGAGTTGATGTTTTGGGCAGTTTAGGTGTGCTTTTGGTCTCGATTGATTTGAGCATAACTTGAGCTATACTTGATGAAACATTATGAAGCTTTTCTCATTCTCTAGGTTATTATATAAGCTTTCTAATGAATATTTTTACTTATATTTTAGGCATTTAGTTTGGGAGTAATTTGATTTTGAAGCTACATTGGTCAAAACTAGGGCTTACCATGATGTTATTGTGGTTTGGGAGGATTTTAGGAGAATGCTCGGCGTGAATCCCAAATTTTTGCATCTCATTCGATAGAAGATTAACAAAGCAAGCAAATGCTTCAAAAATCGTAGAAATCGGTTAAGATTTGGATGGAAAATTATCGCTTGAAATGTTGCTCAAGTTGAACATGTCCTATTGATGTTTCATATGTGTTGTAACACACATGTTATCTAATTCATAGCAACTTAGATTGAAAGAAAAAAAAAATTGCTTTCTTACACTCTGCCTAAACATTAAATTTGTTAATCATGAACGTAAGATGTGAATCAACCAAAATCGCATATTCATTACTCAATGCAACATCTTAAACTTTGTGTGTGAACATTTGCTTAGCATGTATAGTCACTTATGTAGTATGACATCATATTTCTTACATTGAAGCCTTCATTTTTACCAAATTTAATGTCTACCATATCATCTAATTCTATGACTATCAACATAGATACAACAAATTCATGACGCTAAAATGCATGTTTGAATGATGCATTGTTGACATGTTGTATTCTTCTTTCTTTCAATGTACCATGGTATCATGATGCTCATCAAAATGACCAAAGAAGGGTTTATCATGCATAACATTTCTCCCAGCAAGTTTTCTTATCACTCTTAATCCTTTTATATGCTCTCTAAAACATGGGATTCAAGTACATATGCAACAATAATATATTAAGTATGTTAATCATGTTAATGCAAAGCCTACACTTTTTATAATTAAACTGTTATTTGGATGTTATCACAATAGACATAGAGTGTGAATTGATAACTTTTTCTTTTCACTAGTATGCAAGAAATAGAAAAACACAGAAAACTTAAATCCAAGACGTCAACCAAAAATACGTGCAATTTGTTATTGTAAACACATGGAAAAGTGTCGGCCTCATGGCAACATGTATAAGAAAACTTTAATTTTATACTTCTCATTAGCATGCAATCAGAAATGTTACCAAACCGAATACTTGTATAGCAATAGTTACCATCCAATTACTTGTTATAATGGTCAGCATCTTCAATATTGAACCTGTTTTTGTATAATAAGTGATAACTTTGGAGAATTGAAAACGGTCATTTAGTTAAGAATTGCATTCCAATATATTCAGTGTCTAAGAATATTGTATCCAAACATCTTCAATGGCTTCTTTGATGTTCTCAAGTATAGCATTTTCGATAAAAATTTTGAGTGATTTTGTTATTTATATTTATAGATAATTCAATCATAATCTTTCTTATCTTACCAATCAAAGAGTTACTGAAAACTCAAAGTGAATATTTATGCATTCAAATATAAATATTATAGACACCTTTGAGTTTAACTCACAAGTTATTAAATTGGTAATTCTTCATATTTGAATTCTCCATATTGTTTAACCTTTAGACTTGTCCATATCTAACAATAAAATGTTATATAAGTACTTATCACTTAAAATTAAGATAAGATATTATAACAATTTTAGGCATAATACTTAAAATTGAAAGGACTAATGTTGTTGGTCGAAATACCACTTATCTTTTTTATATCTTGTGTTACTGACTTGGTATGTTGATATGTCATAATAGATGGTAACATGATATACTGATATAGCATGATCACATGATCACATGATCACATGGCATTTTTCATTCTTCACGTCGAGGTTATGTCATCGTCACATGGGTATAAAATGATAAATGATATTTTGTTTAATAACAGTTAGTCAACCATTAATTATAAAAGTTTATTTGATTCAAAATAAAAAGACATAAACTTGATTAAATGTAATAAAAGAATAAGAACTTATTTGAATTTTGACATTATGCCTAAACAATCCTAAATTATTTAAGAATATTCAAATAAACTCTTATTCTTTTATTATGTTCAATCAAGCCCCTATACTTACATTTTGAGCCAAATAAGCCCTTATATATTTATTTTAAATCGAATAAGCCCTTATAATTAATAATTGACTAAGTAAAAATGTTAAGTGTTATTTTATGTCGTATGACACTGACATGACATGTTGATATATCATAATTAATGATGACGTGTCATATTACTGTGACATGATAATATAACTATGTAATATTTTTTACCATTTAAATCAATGTCACATCAATGCCATATAACATAAAATAACAAGTTGCGGCTTGCCTAATTACAATTAGTCAATTATTATTCATAAATACTTATTTACTTCAAAATAAAAATATAAAAACTTCATTGAATGTAATAAAAAAATAAATATTTATTTAAATTTTTTTAAATAATTTAAAAGCTTTTTGGCTTATTTGAATTTTTTTGAATAATTTAAGAATTTTTTAAAATATTATGCAAAAATTTTGTTAATATATAGATAGGTCAAAAAATCCCTTAATCTAGGGTAGATTCAATTTTAAGGCTCTTGTTACAACCATATCCCTAACCCATCAATATAAAATGTAAGTTATGATAATATTTTTTTTTGAAAAGTGTAAGTTATAATAATTTACCTTTTATTCAATGAGTAATTAAACAAAAATAACAATCATATATCATTGTTAAGGCCCACAAAATTCTACAAAATCAACTTTATATATGTTAACCTGGTAAAACGACCGTGCCAAATTATTTATACCATTTTTAACATCACGCACTCATTAATAAAATTATTATAATTTTGACATAATACTAAAAAAATTCTCTAAACTATTCAAGAAAAGTTAAATAAGCTCTTGTTTTTTTATTACGTTCAATCAAGCATATATATTTTTATTTTAGATCAAATAAGGCCTTACAATTAATAATTGACTAATTGTCATTAATCAAAATGCTTATTGTTATTTATATTTGCATGGCATCGACTTGATGCTAATGTGGAAGGTAAAAATGCAATATAACTATGTCATTATACTACATCAAACAAGTTTCATTATTATCCATTATGACATATCAACATATCACATCAGTGCTATGTTAATGCTAAGTGATGTTAAATGATAAGTAGTAGTTTGACTAAATTAACAATCAGTCATAAAGATTTATTTGAGTCAAAATAAAAATATAATAGCTTATTTAGCTCAAAATAAAAATACACAAACTTAATTAAACACAATAAATGTATAGAGGCTTATTTGAATTTTTCTAAATAGTTTAAGAACACTTTGAGATATTATGCCTAAAATTTATAATACTAAGTTTGAGCTAGCAATTCAATCCATTGAAATGAGAATTATATACTTTTTTAGCTAGGAATATTCTTTCTTAACCTATTCATACTTAGTGATTGTTTGACTCGATTTTTTTCCAGCTTATCTACCTTTTAAAAGTAGAAGTCGAACCACATAGGATTTTAAGAAATTCTTAAAAAAACACCCTTTTCTTTAAAAAACAAAATCTAAAAAAAATAGCTTCAAGAAAAATGCATTTCTTTTCTATTCTTTTTAAAACATGGCAAATTTTTAGGAGATTTTTCCTTTTTGTTTTAGAATTATCCTCATCTATTAAAAATAATTTCAACATTACCTTATCAAAAAATACCCCTTCCTCTCAATTGATGAAAAATAGAAATCGTTAATTTATAAGTTATTTATGAATTATGTATTACTTATAAATTATTTGTGAAACTCTTTTTTTATGATTTATTATTAATTTTAAACTTTATGTTATATAAAAATGCTTTCCATATTTCTAAAAATTTGTTTTAAATAGAAAAAAAATAAACCTAAACTTTTTTCTATTGCAAAACAAAGAAATTTATGATTAATAGAAAGTTATTTATTATATACCTTTTATGGTAATTTTAACAAAAATTAGAGCTTATATAAGTTGTTTTGTCAAACAGCTTATCCATACAAAGGAGTTTATAAAAGTAAATTTATTAAATAGCTTTAACTTAATTTTAAAAATTAGGGTAAAATACTCATACCTCTCAAAGTTTTGATTATAATTTCCACATGGGTCCATTAGCTTTCAAAATGAACAATTTGCCTCAAACGTGTAAATGACGTTAATACTTAAACGTGAAATATTTAAAATACCATTTTTTCAATTATTTTCCTTTCTCAGGCTACCAGTGCCAGATCTGGTCGTGCAATGCCAAATCTGATTAGATCAACTCCCAAGAAAGCACTAAATCAGTGCCCTCTAGGGGAGTGTCACTCATCTGGTTGGATCTGGCGTTCCTCGACTATATCTAGATGAGATTTTTCTTTCAAATTTAAGAAAAAAATTTTAAAATAAAAAATTATAATTTATGTAGTGGTAATTTTAAAATATATGAAGGATAAATTTGTCTAAAAATGTTATTATATCATCAAACTAACAGAAACATTAACAGTTGACTAACAGTTGATTTTATATGTCTAGTGAAAGATATTTTTTTGAGATGGACTGTTTATTTTTAATACTAATGGATTTGTGTGAAATTATGGTCAAAACTTAGGGTGGTGAGGTATTTTACCCTAAATTTATTATTTTTAATAAGAGTTTCATAATAGCTTTTAAACTTAAAAAAAAAAAACAAGCCAAATAGGCTCTAATTACTAATTACTAATTATATTTAAATCAAATCATATCTTTATTATTATATATACAA